AAGAGAGTCAGCATTGATATTGATACAAAGACCGTGGTTAGAGAAACGGATACAAAGTTCCTATCCATTGCTTTAGACTCTGGTTTGATAAAAGAAGACGCATGGAGGAAATTTGATTTCACGTAAGTTTATTCTGCTCGTAATTCCAATACAATGTTTTTCAGAATTCTTTTCATAAATTTCCAGATTTCTTTAGTCTATATTTAATTGATTTTTTGTTAAATGTTTAGGATTGTTTTTCAGGAGTGAATTTGAGCAAAAAATAACATGCTTTGCAGGTATGTTGCAATAAAGTATATCTTGAAAATAATGCAGTATTTCTTAGATTTGTCATTTTAACAACCAATGGATTTCACTGGTAAACTGCACTGAGAATTTTTTTTTCGCTTGATTAAGATTTTCTGACAAACTGATTTAAATATGGTGTAACTGTTTTGAAAAGTTCTTTAATTTATTTAGAATATTGACAGTAGATTAGTAGTAGCGACAATATTTGATCTATTAATGATATGAGAGGTATACATGTATCAAAGTTATGTGTATTTAACAATTTTTGATATAATAATGCAATTTTTTTGAAAGATTCTCTTCTAATACACATGTGCTAACACATGTTGCACAGAGGTGTTTTTTTAAAGCCATATTTGAAGGTTTTGCTAAACCTTTTTCCCATGTTTAATTTTTGTTGTTGAAAGTTTTGATCAAGACCTGTCACCAATGAAACATTATGTTCATTTGATCAAAATTATAAAAAAAATACATTCAAATGTGCAATAATTAATTTTTCATGTAATTATGATGACTTTTTTCAGCATGTATTTTCCATGCAAAATGCTTAGATAATATTTTATTTGATTGTTTCAAGACTTTTATTATCACTTTTGCCATGCAAAGAATGGATATTGCATCGTTAGTTTGTTCTCCATCCATACATTTGTTATGTAATCTAGGTTTTCATTGGACAAGGTTGTAATAGTTATGCTATGTTATTGTAATTGTAGCTCGGCAAGATTGAAGACTTTAGCGAAAGGTGTATCACCGTGCTATTTTCGTGTGGGAGGCA